TTTTTTATCCGTAAGTTCATAATTTCCTGACTTGTCGGCAGTTTACATGTAATTTTAATTGATCGACCCAATCTTAAGCTAACCGAGCCCGAGCCAACTCAATTCGCCCCAATTATCTCTGTCCGCGTGCGATCGCTTCAGTGTCACAGATTGGATCGGTTCTGTTCTTCCTGTGGTTTAGCCCTTTCTTATTGGATAGTGGCTCTTCTATTATACTTAATGTCACGTCCGACGAGTTATTTATTCTACCCATTATTTTGATGTAAAATAAAACAAGGACATTGATATTGTTAGTGGTAATCCCTTTCTGAATATAATTATTTTAAAATTTAATAATATATAATTTTAATTAATATAACTCCTCAATTATCAATTAAGCATCATGATGAAGACTTCAAGTGGGGTAAGGTTGAGCTTGCGATGAGTGCCTTTGCGGACGAACGTGATTGAGCCTCTTGGTGGGTCATTACCAAGGCAACTCGGATTTCACAACGAGGCCCTATTATAATTGAGAGACATTGTAACATAGTTTGAAATGATGAAGACGATAAGAAATGACGAGGGACAAAGAGCATCATGACGAGACAGAGGTAACGATTAGGCACATATTTGATTGAGGTTAGTTACTAAATTCGTTTAGAAGTTATAAACATGTTTCGACATGATAAGACCCTTAGGTATAGTAAAAGAAGAGAGAGAAAAAAAGATGATCATCGTCCTTGATAAGAGATCGACCTCCTAAAGTTTATCAAAAGATTAAAATAATATTTTATTGATGAAAAAAAATAGATTCATTCCTATTTATAGAGTTTCAGCCGGAATTTATTAGGATTTATATTCTTAATAATTAATTAAATATCAAATAAATCTCTATCCGATTTTTATCGAACTAGATAAACTAAATAAAATATTATTCAAAGCTTATAAAATAAAAAAATATCAACAAAGCACCCAAACAATTCTCAAAACTTTGGATCCAAACGAACACATCTAATGCGTTGCCTCAATCTTATGAACACAAGAAGAACGCCACCACTATGCACTGTAACGTCATACCCAAGATCAATAACGCTTGCACCTGACAACAAGAAGTGCAGATCCCAAGAGAGGATATATCAAGGGGATCTCAAGTTCTACAGGCGCATAACAAGAACAGAAACCCAGTAAATCATTTGTCAGCCAAACCACTGAATCAAGAAACAATCATGAGAGAGGAAGAGTGAGGATTCAAGTGCTCGTTGCACCACCAGCCTCACGAGACATGGCTCTATTCTTCCCTGAATCGGCTCTGAATCTCCCAGGCCAGCTGCTTCATCTTGTTGCTGTAACCAAAGAAGAGCATCTCCAGATCGCCAAAGATACCAACGATCATGGCAATTGACTTCTCGTCTTTACCCGCATCCGCCAACATCTCGAGCGTTTCGATCGCCGTGGTTGTAGTCGCGAGACCAACACGTAAAAGGTCGATGTTGCGCTTCAGCAGAGTCGGGGTATCCAGATTCCCATCGCCTATGACTTCTACACCAGCCGAGGCATCATCCACCGAGACGGACGTTGCAACCCCAGGAGCAGCGGAGGCGGGCTGCGCCTTGGCCTTGGATCCTCTGCCAAGTTTCGTCTTCCTGGGAGCCATGGCGGCCCGAGAAAAAGACTCGGCGTCCACAGAGAGAGAGAGAGAGAGAGAGAGAGAGAGAGAGAGAGAGAGAGAGAGAGATTAGGAATCACTAATGTATTCATAATTTCGTAATGTTTAAGGGTTTATATGCAAAAATGAAGTTGATTCGACCAGATCTGAAACTAACTGAACCGAATACCCAACCGTGTCTGACCCTGTCATGAATCGGGTCGGATCTTTATTTCGTCCCCCGGCTTGGGTTAACAGCTGGCCCATCCGGTACCCAGGTGTGGGCCATAGCCGTACACCTCCCTCCAGCCAATCACATGGCAGGGGTAAGCGTCGGGTGAACCATTTTCTGGCTTAATTAAAAAACCTTCCAATTGGATCCCCACCCGGCCCACTTAAATTTGCTCGCTTCAGTGTCTAATTACATGTTTATGTTTCCCCACGTGCTAGGCGATTCCATGGCCTGGGCCGAGTTCCAGGCCTTCGCCGCCGCCAAGGAGGAAATCCTGTGAATGGTGGAGTCGGTCATCCGGGAGCACAAGTCCGACCGATCCTGCGCAAACGGTCTACTAACTCTCTTCACGGATGCCATTGCGATCCCCAAGAACCGTACCGCTCTTAAGGAGTTTGAGGAGTTCAAGGAGGAGGTGGCGGAGGCCAAGCTGCGAAAGGGCCTCGCGGAGGCGATTCAGATCGATCAGATCATCGCCCTGCTCGCTAGGGCGGACCCCACCTTGTCATTCAAGGAGGACTGCTGACCGCTTCACTTAACGAATGGGTCAGCGGTCAGCGTGGACTTCAAGATCAACGGTCCATTTATGGGTGAAATTATAGATTTACCCTTCACTTAATCACCAGCACATGATATTTATTATCTGCAAGAATTCCGTAACATTAAAAATTGAGTAAATTATAGTATTTTCGAATCTATTGGATCTCAATTTAAAATTCAAAAGTCCAGGACGAGGCGAAATATGTAATTAGCTCTGGCTTCGGCGTATCGCCGGCGTTTCCGTGGGCCGCTTGTCGCCAACGCGTCCTCTGCTCTCGCCGTGGCCGACCGCAGTACAAGTCGCGCTGCTCCTCTCGCTCTTCTTCTCCCTCCGCGTTCCGCGGCCAGATCTTGCTTCACGTGAATCACCTTCCCTAGTTTCTTATTCCAAATCGTTTTCTCTAGATTCGAGCCGATCTCAACCTGCTTCTTCTTCTACTAATGCTTCTCCAGATCTTGGCGCCAAATCCCACGAGGGTCAGCGGTTCCGCGCTCGTGCCAGATCGGTCCGAGATCCCACTATTCTTTGTCGTGATCAAATCGTGATATTGGGAGATCCATCGTTCCAGAAATCAATTGGGAGCATGGCTGCGAGGAAACCCGGCGTCATCGCGCTGTTCGACGTCGATGGAACGCTCACCGCCCCGCGGAAGGTTTTTCGATTCGACTTTCGTGGCCTTGAGATCTTCCTTTCCTGTGGAATTGACTCTTGCTTTCTCTTGGTGGTGATTTCTTTTGTTAGCTGATCACGCCGCAAATGCTGGAGTTCATGCGGGAACTCAAGGAGGTAATCAAATCCAGAATTTTATTGCGTGGCATATAATGTGATAAGCTAATCATGCATAGAGAACGTCAGTCTTGTTGATGCGTTTGCATTGCTTGGGCAGGTTGTAACTGTAGGTGTTGTCGGAGGATCGGACCTTGTTAAGATAACAGAGCAACTTGGAAAAACAGGTCTGCTCAATCTTTAGATAATATGTGCACCTTTTACTGGTACATATTGGCATATACTTCCAACTATTCATCACCACAAAGTTTGCTTTTTTTCCCTTTTTCTACTCCGATAATTCTTCTAAGCTAATATTAAAGATCTGGTCGTGCTTTTTGCTTATTAGGAAAACTGGACTATCAAATAACCATCATAACAAGATCTAGATTTATATCAAAAGTACAAATCTAATTTATTTTTCTTCTTCTATAACTATATCCAAAAATTGAATTACATATAACTGTAGGATTAAAATGGATTTTAAGAATAAAATTGTCATGTATTTCAACAGAAACATGGCCTGCCAACTAATGCAAAAATGAAATGCATTTGAACTGTTAGAGCTTCTCCCAGTCTACTGTCTTTTCTTACGTACTAACAAAAAGTTAAGCGCCTACAGCAACTGTTCTCCATGAGGTAGTCGCTGCTTGAATGATGAATAAGATCAATGTGTATCTCTTCTTCTTGGTAGGGCTAAAACCTCTAGAGATACCTATTATCCTTAGACTTACCCAATTAAGCACTGAGTTCAAAAATCAGATTTTTTATTGACTTAAAAATGGGGATATATATTAATCTCTTTTGAATTGATGATGAAATTTGATTCTACTTTTCGTGAATTTCTTTGTGGCTAAGACCACATGACTGCCCTATATGTCTTCTAAATATTCTTTATGAATATTTAGAAAATGATTATGTATTCTCACCTTGTGATCATCCTTTCTATGCAGTTATACACGACTATGATTATGTATTCTCAGAAAATGGCCTTCTTGCTCACAAAAATGGGGAACTAATTGGTCGACAGGTAATTGCATCTTCTATGCTGTATTTTATTTGCATGGATAAGTTACAGAGAAGTTCTTTTTTTTGTGATTAAGATCTCAGGAGAACAAAATCTTGATATGATTAATTGTAGGAAAATTGACTTCTTGTTAAAAAAGGGGGAACTAAAATGGAAGGCAGATAATTGCATCTGCAAATTGTAGTTTCTTAGCTTGGATAAGTTACAAATTAATGTTTGTTGTGATTAAGATCTCATAATAAATAAATCTTGATAAATAGAAGCAATCATTTCACCTTTTTTTGTATCCTCATCTTTGAAATGGACTTTTTATAGTGTTAGAAACTTCATTATTATTTTTATATTTTAATAAATAACTGAGACAATAATAAACCCTTTGGAGTGCATACAAGCTATCAGCTTTATTTCTTTTTTCTGCAGAAGTTGTAATTTCTTACATTATCCAAGTCTGCCAATATGTCCTTGATTGGCCTTCCTATGAAATTTCTCAATTTTTACTAAGCAAAGTCATGATGTCTAGTTTTCAGACTCGTATTAGCAAAAAGTCCAAGGATACTTTTACATTTAGAGATGTCACTCATGCTGCATATTAAGAGTAACCAAGGGATTGTCTGATATTGAACCAATTAATTTTAGAAAAGCAGAATGGGAAAATTCATGACACTATACTTGGCATATCTAATTTTTGGTTACCTCATTGTAGCTTGTGATCCCATTGTCTCATGATGAAATGATAGCATATCTCATATTTCTGAAGGTTATTTTTCAAATTTTAACAGTGGAGAGCAGTTCACCTGGTGCTGTCTTAATTGGTATTTAAATTAATGACATAAACCATAAATGACATGAAATTATCGAAATTGGCATGTGAACTTGATTGAATTGAATTTTGGTCCTAATGAAAAATTAGTTTTTTTCCCATCAATTCACAGTGTGATTGATCATAATTGAAACAATATGTTTTTTTCCCTTTAGTTGATTATTCTTCTTATTCGTATGCAATTATGAATTTGATCTCATTCAGATGAGAATTACAAATGAATCCTTATGTTTTCTTCTGTAGCATTTTGGAAATAGATTGTCCAAGCTTTGATATTCAATCATAAACTAGAGAATCTCCAGGAATATTTTTATCCAAATTTTTTTGTTGTCAAGCACGAATCATAGTCATGATCCCCCAAAACATAGAGGATTAGTAATTTGAGTAATGTTATCATCTACGAAATTTGGATTTGACTGTAATAATGGTAAGGAATAGTGCCCAATTTAGACTATTGTTAGTATTGAATTACTTCAAGGCTGGGAATTGGAACTTTAAGTGCTGCAACTATGGTTGTGATTAGCTATCCTTATGTTTGCAAAAATTTCCCAACCAAATGTAAATGTCTATGGCTTTGATAGTTTGGTTTTATCTACTAGATTAATTTTTCCCCTTTCCTCGGATAATTGAGATTCAAAAAATACTCTTTGATGTGTACAGAGTTTGAAGTCATTTCTTGGTGAAGATAAACTAAAGGTGAGATGTATAATTTTGCATCTGCATTTCCTAAAGCATTTTGAGAAGAGCTTAAATTGAATTGTTTATGCAGGAATTCATCAATTTTACCCTCCATTACATTGCCGACTTGGATATCCCAATAAAAAGGTTATTCAGAATCTCTTTCCTTCTAGAGATTAATAAAAAAAAAAGATTATCTGGCATAATCTCAAAGCTCTTGGTTATTCCTTGGTGGTTAGGGGGACATTTATTGAGTTCCGTAGTGGAATGCTTAATGTCTCTCCAATAGGGCGGAATTGCAGCCAAGAAGAGCGCTATGAATTTGAAAAATATGATAAGGCATGTAGTTGTTTTGGTAAAACTAATCATGATGCTTGATATTTTGGTTATAGACTTGGTCAGTACCTCTTCAAATTGTTGACATTGTGTGATATATTGTCTCTTAGGTTCACAACATACGGCCAAAGATGGTCTCTGTGCTACGTGAAAAGTTTGCACATATGGATCTGACTTTTTCAATTGGTGGACAAATAAGTTTTGATGTTAGTTCTTATATATATATATATATATATATATATATATATATATATATATATATATATATATATATATATGTATATTTTTACAAGTACATAAAAAAATTTGATTTCGAGATAACATCTGGTTATGCTGCTGTGAACTTCTTGTTGCAGGTTTTCCCACGAGGCTGGGACAAGACTTACAGTTTAAAATACCTTGGTGAATTTCAAGAAATCCACTTTTTTGGTGACAAAACCTACAAGGTAGTCTCTAAAGAATTTTCTTCTTGGATGATGCTTGGCCATGTCAAATTGGGAAAACTACATTCAATCGAAGTCTATGGGTTGTATAGGATAGCTGGTATTAGACACACTAGCTGAAGTAGATGCAGATGACTTTTTCTACTCTCCACTCAACTCATTAACTCTTCTGTATGGAAGCTTTTCAATTCATATGTGCAATCTGCTCACGAACTCCAGTTAACTTGATTTTGGGTTAATGTAGTACTTATTGATCAGAAAGCACTTTTGATCTAAATGTGACTAGCGTGCAAGAATTGACAATGAAGATGTTAACAGTTAATGCTTAGTGTTTGTATCATCGATAGTTACATGTATTCACCTGCATGTTTATGTTGGTAGAGGCTCTATTTTCTTACGAGATGGAATTGATACTTTCAAAAACCAGTTTGATGTATAAATGAAAATTTAGCAGCTCTACTACTAGGTTTTGAATAGAGCACATTTGTTGATTTATCACATGATGTTTTGGTACATGTTGATGAATTATTGTAAAACGCCTTTAGCAATTTTGATGAGTCTGTCTAAAATTGTTTCTTTGCACATTGATCTTCTTAAGTTTCTTTCATGTAGTTTTTAGGCAGATTAGCTCCCCATCTTATAAATGGAATTCTAATTTTTTGTTCTGTGCTCAAACCTAACCTTGCTAAATTAAAAATTTCAGATACTTTTAGAGTGGTTTTGTCTTCATGTAACTAGTGTGCTGCTTCTTTTATGTGCAGGGGGGGAATGACTATGAAATTTATGAATCGGAACGAACTGTTGGTCATACAGGTATGCTTTATGATATGGTTTTAATCCCTATAGTATGCTTTGACTTTGTAAATGACTCGAATTGGTAAAATGACTCATTTATATTCTCATGAGATCTGAGGTGTTTGACATTATTATCAAAGCGTGTGATGGAGACTTATCCAAGAAAGCTTCAACATTATTTTTCTTTTGAGAACCTAAAGTTGTAATACACCTGTAACTTTGACAAGTAAAATTAAGATTGTAGTTCTGATCAAGGACCTTCAACTACTTAGTCATCATTTTGTGGATTGGTTGGAATAAATTATGGAGGATATCCTTTAAACTGCTCAGTTCTGTTTAGCTTAAAGAGCAATATGTCAAGGGAGTATATAACTTTTTGAGAAATGTAAATGTCCAGCTTGGCACTTCTAATTGTCATTCTATGGTCTCTTAATAAGGGTTTCTAAACTACATGTACCTGATTTCTTAAACAAAATTCTTACAAGTGATGTAATTTACCAACTCTGATTTAATTTAAATGTGACTCTTGCATGTTCCAATAGAGAACAAGATGAATTGTCTAAGATGGTAGTAAAAAGATGGCTATAAATACTATGGCTAGACAAGGTGAGACAATTATTACTATGATATGAGGAAATTAGGGGGAGATATGAGAAAATTTTACCAGAAACAATATAACGAGATATGAATGTTTTTGTTTTACTAGAGATATTGTCTCGTATAAAGCTTAATGTCACAAAAAATCCATGTAGTGAACCCTAATTAGTTGAGACATAACATCTTCCTTAATTGTACTATTTCGAGTTTCAATCCAATTTTCCTTTATCTTCTCTGTGGTTGTCCTTGGCTTGGTAGTATGATGTTTGTTTTAGAAATGTAAAACATCCAACTTGTGACCAAGTGGGACTTCTATGTTGTCACTGTATTCACATAAAATTTATTTGCTTGAACAACAATTTTATTTGTAAAATCATAGCTTCTGAACCCTGTTCCATGTAACTTTCCCACTCTTATAAATCCTAATTCAAATGTCCATCCTTTTCTCGGCTGCAGTTTTCCTCAGTTAGGTAGGATAAGGTTGTTTATTATTGGCTACTTCAGTCTTTCTTCTACCACTTCTACAAAATATTGTCTTGTTTGTACATTCTACTGATTATTATTGTTCACCTTCTGCACAGTAACAAGTCCAGATGATACAGCAGCACAGTGCAGATCTCTCTTTCTGGGAAATTAATCGATGAGCTTATAGCAAGAAGTTTCATATTGTTCAATTTAATATTGTATTCAATGAGCTTATGACAACAAAGTTTTAACCATTTCAACGACTGTATTTGTATTTCCATCTATGAGGATAATTATTATGTACCAAATAAAGCCTTCAAAATAAATAAAGTATGACCTTCAGATGTTGCTTGTAAACTGGTGATTGTTCTTTCATAGTTCTTTTTGGGATTGTACTGACTGAACTGCTCACTATAAATAGATATAGCAAAAGGCTAGATTGTGGAAGTGGCAAGAATCGATGATTAGCTTCTTGAGCATTTAGCAAGTGTGAATAGGCAAGATTAACTGTGATGGAATGCCATCTGAAAAGACAAATCCATGGCTTGTAAATATCTTGGGAGGATAATGAATGACATACAGTTTTTTCCAAGAATGTTCATAAAGGAGACTTAAACTGAAAACAGGTCATCATTTTTACAACTTATTCTGCAACAGTAAACAGATTGTCAACTACTTGTATGATGAACATAATGTTCACTGTCCTTGACTTGGCATTGTTTGTAGTGCACATCTCAGTTCTTATCAATTGCATGTATAGTGCATCCCAAGTGGATACCAGTTTTTGTTATAATGGTAGCAACAACTAAATCATATACCAAAATTACCCATTAATTTGTTGTCTAACCTTAGTTGTATTGCCTCTTGAAGGTGAACAAGTACTAGGAAACAGAAAGAAACATCTTAGAGTTCAAACTTTTAGTGGCAGTCATAACCATGGAGTTGCTTTGATGGAACAAAGAACAAGAAATTTGCTGGCCACTACACACAGATCCATTTGGAAAACAGGTAAAACAACTTATCTGCATCACATTGACTAAACCTGGAGGTGTAGAGTGTTTGTACTCTCTATAATTTAAGGTGCACATTCACAGAATAATGGAGACTTGTACTTAAATACAGTAAATTTAAGAATATAATATATTTATGTGAGCCTTTAACCATCAAAGGGCGTTTGGTCTAGTGGTATGATTCTCGCTTTGGGTGCGAGAGGTCGCGAGTTCGATTCTCGCAACGCCCCTAATTTCCGTTTTTAGTTACTTCTTTTCTTTTTCCATCTTTACTCCTTTATTTTCTGGAATTCTTTACATAAATAACCTCAATGTGTGAGCGAGAGAGAGAGAGAGAGAGATCAAATATATCTTATTGCTCAATGTAATGTAGCCAGAAACAGAAGAAATCCTATCAAATTTGGATCATCAATCCTCTCCAAATGTTCTCACAGTATGATAGTAATGCTTAAATGGAAAATCTTTTGTTTTATATGTTGTATGAGCTATGAAATGAACTTGCTAACATCAAAACATCAAAGAAGTGAAAGAAGAATTAGCACTGGTATGGGGGTTTGTATCAGTCAGATCCCGTCATCTTCCTCCCAACGAACACCTGCAACACCCCATCGGATCCGCCTGCAGCGAGCGCGCCCTCGCCGTCCCCTGCGGCCGATTGCCTCCAGCTCGCCACCCCGACGAACCCGTCGCGGCTCTGCCCCTCCTCCCCTCGGTTCCCGAAGCCCTGCACCCATATTGGCTCCCCCCACCGGAGATCGTACACGAACACCTCGTTGCTCTCCGACCCGCTCCCGATGAGCCCCGCGCCGCGCCACACCGACATGCCGATGAAGTTACGCGAGTTGGCGTGGCCGCGGTACGCCCGGACTTGCCTCCCCTCCGCCCAGTCCCACAGTCGGTGGGAGCCGTCAATCCCCGACGTGACCACCCGCCGCCCTCCCGGCGCGAACCGCACGTACGTCACCGTCCGCCCATGCCCACTGAGCGCCGCCACTGGCCCTGCAGAGACCGCCCGCAGATCGAACACGTACGCGTGCCGGTCGGCGCTCCCCACCCCGACCCACGGCCCGCCCTCCGGGTCAAATTCCACGCTGCAGACCGCTCCGTCGGCGCGTGCGACCGCCGTGCATCCGCCGTCGGCGCACCTCGAGTCCCATAGCTGCACGGTGCCGTCGTCGGACCCCGAAGCGCCGAGGGCCCCGTCAACGGAGTAGTCCACGCACCAGACGCGGCGCCCGGCATGCTCGTCACGCTCGAACACGGGGAAGCCCCGCTCCACGTCGTACTCGGTGACCACGCCGTCGTAGTCGCCGGAACCAATGATGCGGCCACTCGAGTCGGGCCGCCACCGCAGGCTGCTGAGCTTGGCCGGCGTGCAGATACACAGCCGACAGGCAGTCGAGTGGTCGGAGAAGGTGGGGCTCGGACCGCGCTCTTCCGGCAGCAAGCTGCGGAGGCCGTATATCCTGATCTTTCTAGCGATGCCGCCTGCGGCGAGGAGGCGGTCGGTGGGGTCGAACTCGACGGTGCCGATGGCGTCGGAGATGGCTCCGGTAGCCGCCGGGGAGACAGCAGCCGAGAGACGGAAGTTCCATTCGCACCGAGCTCTCTCTTCATGCGCAGCTTGTTGTTGCTGTTCCGACGGCTCCTGCGGCGGACCGGAGACTGCTGGGGAATGGTTCATTGCCCATTCATAGAGGAATGGTGACCGCTGATGCTACTGAAACGATTGGTGTGCAAGTTGAAGGGGTTGAGGGCCAATGACAAGTGGGGGATACTGGTGGGAGATTTCTGACTCCATGGATCCGTCCTGGGTTGTATGCCTTATTCAGGATTCTTGGATGTTTTTAGAGGATATAATCCTTGTGGGGAATGGTCAATGTTATCACGTTTGAAGGATTCTGGTGAGGTAAATGATAGATTGACATGGGAGTGTTTACTTACGTCCTGAGATCAATGTTGCAGTCAATGGCCTCGTCGAGAAAAAGTCAAACAGTGGAAGCCGTTTGCCAAAGCTTCGAGCTTTGTTGGATGGTTGATTCTGTGGTCTGAAAGCAGCAACATCAGTGTCTCGAGCACTGCATGGAGCTTTGACAGGTGAACAAATGTTGCAACCAAAGGCCACAAATCTGCCTTCTCATGTGGAGCTATCACCAACTTGGCCACACAAAGGAGATGGGTGGACACTGGTGTTCCAACATTCCACCATGAGAGAGAGAGAGACACACACACACACACACACAGGTTTCAGACAGTATCATCAAGTAGCAGCAGTTCATTCACAGATGGTGTCTTGGCACCAATAATTTTCACAAACATTTAATTAAATTATTTACTCTATAGATATAATATCTTCAAACTGAAGTGATTTACTATCTGTGAAGATTCAAACAAGATATAATTTATGTTGGGTTTAGCTAGTAATTTTTCAGATGATTGAATGATAAGTTACTTGAAGGAGAAAGAATTCAAAGGCTGGAAACAAATTATAATTGCCAATTTCACTAATAAATATAGAAAGGTTGGAAAAAAGAAATTATTTACTTTTACATCTTGTGTTTACTAATTTGAATTTATAGATAGATCTCTTGTTGTCTCACTCTTATTTTCTTACAGAAACCAGAAAAAGAACAAAGTAGAGAAATTACCTAAATATGCACAGATAACAAAAGCAACATGATAAGATTGAGTTGATTATGAGAAGCAATGTAAAGGAACACTTTTCGAGGGTTCTTTTTCTTCTTCTTTCTTCTATTCATATTCATATTTATGGTGTGTGGGATCAGGTGGATTTGATTGCTGTGGGGTGGTGGCGGCTCCTCCTCTGGGCTGCTTCTTTGGTGGTGCGTCTGCTGTAACGTGGGAGAACGCAGACCTGTCACACGTCTTGTTCTTATCCACAACCATTTCCAGCCGTTCTTCTTCTTCTTCCGACTTGGATGGCGACGAAGGGCAGCTGCATTGATCTCTCGGCGAGCTCTTTTCCCTCGGTCACACCTCTTTCTTCTTCTTCTACTTCTTCTTTCCTTGTCCAAATTGGATCACCTTGAAGGACGTTAAAGACAGCTGCATTAATCTCTCAGCAAACTCTTTTTTCCTTGTCCAACTTGGACCGTGCTCACAGAAAGATGTCGGACGCGTCTATGTGATTGTGAGTTATATGGGAGTCCATTTCCAAGCTTTGATAGCTTTGAAAGGTGCCGGAGAAGATCTCCGCAGCAAATGACATGTCAGTGATAGATTCACAGCCATGGGAGGTGGAGGAGAAGGATAGTTTGGTGAGCCTGTCACTTTCTCCATGAACCGAAGCGAGCTCTCATACGCGGCCACTCATCTGCCTCTATGTTCTTGGAGCTCTCATATCGCTTTGTCCTACCAGGTGGCAGAATCTTATTGGTGGAACTAAATGCAAATCCCCAATAATATAATATGACTATCTTAGAAATAAAAATAAATAGCAAAAATAATAAATAGATGACTAAGTTAGAGATGGAAGAAGAAGACACATGATACCCAAAAAAAAAAAAAAAAGAACAATTAAGAGAATCAATAGAACATGATATAAATCTAAAACTAGTCAAAAAAATAAAATAAAATAAGTGTATTTGATCAATAAACATAAGTTAACATCGTCGTATCGTTTGCCTATATTTACCTAGAAAAATAAAAATACTTATTTTTTTAGTATATAAGAATAATAAAATATCAAGAGAAAAATTTTGTATTCCAAAATCATAATCCCAAAAATTTTGTATACGTCAAAATCTTAAGATACATAAGATATTAATTTACTAGAGGTTCAAGAAATCTATTTTCAATTAAAGAATAAAAATATTTATCAGTCCTAATAAATAATAATAATTTAAACTTTGACTACTTTTAAGATGTAAAGGATTAGCCTATTCTTAACCCCTAATTGTGAGTGTAAGAATACAAATAAAAACAGGTGAAGAAGATTATAGTTATCTGTTATTATCATTTTTTCCATGAATTATTGAAATTTATTACCTTTCTAGTTGTTTTCCAATTGACTAACTCATGAAGAGCTAATCACTTGTTTCTTAATTATGGTGGTTTTACACAGATCCTACTAAGATCAAGTGGAATGAGCACTTTAAACTTCATTTGATATCAACTCTTCTCTCTGACAATGCATCCATAGAATGCAGTTTAATCGAGTAGAGATTATTTGGTGGGTGGCATAAGAGAGACAAGAAGAATATGGCTGACAAAAATCTTGATGACAACCACACACTCTTCACCAGAAGATGAAGACCTACTGTTCTACCTTCAATTTCATTCATTAAAACCTCAATGTCAAGGATAAGAATTCCAACAGCCATCTCTCTTTCCAAACTGTTCCATTCCAACAGTGAACAACAGATTATATATATACATATCCAAATACTTCATGGATCACTTTGGCAGTCAAATATTATCTGAGTTGAGAATGTCTTCTTTAACCAAATCTACTGGAAAGTTATGAAAGTAAATATATGTGGAGCATCATATTCTGGAACAAAGCAGTAGGAATCAGACTGCAAAAGCATCTGATCACTTTGTTCTTTGAAGTGAGGGACAAAACATGATCTGTCATCAGAAGATTTTTCTGCCATTTTTTTTAGATTCTATTTTCTTGATTTTGAATTGCAGTGACTCCATTGAAGTTGCAGGAAACACAAGGAAAATGCAAAGAGGAAGGTTTTACTTCTTTAATTTTTTTCTTCTTTTTTTTTGTGTGTATGTTTATTATATCTATGTATCTGGTAATTCATGTTTTGGAATCAGCAAAGAGAAATATTGCAAAGCTATTAAGCTTGATTGGAAGAGAGTGAGAGCTTCTCACATTTATGTTAGTTCACATGCTTGTTGTCAGCCCAATGAAGCCTTTTACTTAATAGTTGAGCCTCCTCTAGAACATAAAAGCTAAATGATGGAAATCTAAACCAAAGACGCAGGTTATGTGCCAAAGAACAAAGACCCTTATAGTTAAATTTATATCTCTTTTTTTTTTATCTTTCAATTATCTATAAGAATATTTTTAATTTTATAATATTTTTACTAAAAAAATATTGTCTCTCTTTCTATCTCTCTCTCTCTCCTTGTTCCTTGGTCATATTACTTTGATATCAATTGGACCATCAAAAGTGGGTTAAGGAAAAAGATGGGTATATCTAATTCAATGACTACGTTCTCCATTTGAAGAATATAATTGATGGAACTTACGAGGATCAACTCAACAATTAATAGAGCTAATTATATATCATCTTTTGTAATTAGCTACATTTAGCATTTCGATCTCTATATTTTTAAAAATTTTATTGAGATTCTTATACTTATGAAAATGAAGTATTGAGATCCGGGTTAAAAATATAATTTTACAAGATTAAAAATCAAGGAAGAAAGAGAGATTCTTCTATTAGAGCAACACGGTTACATGTAACACTTTTATGAGTGTAAAGATTAAATTTTGAAAGCATAAGGATCTCGACAATAAAGATAACTAATTACAAAAAATAATTTATAATTAGCCCCAATTAATATAGAGTATCAAAGAATAGAAGATGCCACTATGAACCTTCTCAATCAATAAATCCAATCATACATACTTCTAATCCTTCCATCATTCCTACCATTCATCATATTCTGATTCACCACCACATGAATCTTATCATGTCTTATCATCTCCTCCTCCTAAATCTTCTCCTCCCTCCTATCATCACAACTTCAACTTTTGAATTTCCTTCTATTCTTTTCTCATTTGTCTTTTTTACTATTATAAAGTAATTCTTAGAATAATAATTTCAATTGAATCACTTAAATTTTGATTGATATCTCTATCGAACAATTCTTCAGTATCCTTTTTTTCATAAATATATTTGACTTGGTTATAAGTTTTTTTTTTGCTCATTTCTATTCACTTTCTTTTTTTATCTCTTTATCGAAAAATTCTTCAACAACTTTACTATATATATATATATATATATATATATATATATATATATGTGTGTGTGTGTGTGTGTGTGAATTATTTGATTTGAAGGAAGATCCAGACAAACCAATTGTGTGATTCCACTGCCAACCCTACTAGTAGAAGGGCAAAACCTAAGCTTAATCTTAGCTTGGAAGTGAAGAAATGGCAAATGGAGCAATGCAACCTTGGCAAGGAAGCCAAGACTGGAAGAACTGTTAACGCAAGAGACCACAAAGATGTGCAGGTTTCTCCTCTCTCTCTCTTAACTTTTCTGTTAGTGCTCTCTAAAGTGACTGATGAAAGGAACAGTGTGTCTACTTCTCTGCACTCATTTTGCACAGTGAAAGAAGGAAGAAGATGATGGTCTAGGGGGGTCCCCATAAAGCAACAGATCACCTGATGTCTTGAGACTGTCACCATGGCAGCAAACATGGGGTGTGACAATTGCTGCATAGGAGCAGCAGCTTTGGATGCATGCCTTGCATCATGAGAGCTGGAATCCAGGAACTGAGTTGTTTCAGCTGTTGTTGCTCTCAAGCATTGACTTGGAGGAGAAATTGGGACCCAACAGTCCTCCTTGCTACTCTCACACAACCATATCCAAAATGGGATATGATGGTTGAAAGCTTTGGATGCACTTCTACCTGCTATCCACCCAAGTCTCAGACCCAACTTTAATGATTAGTTTGCCAGCCAATCTTTGATGATTCCATGAGATGACTTGTAGAGTTAAAGATTGGTAGTTACCCATGAGAAGTGGTTGATATGTTTCCTTTGCTCCATACTCTTCCAACTCCTCAAAGGATATAATATTATAGTTGCCTTTTCTTTTAAGAATTTACATTTATATATAGACTCCTGAAATGATGTTTGATAATGATAGTGTTTCAAACATAATGTCCTAAATGTGTGACATAATGTGCAAACTTAATCTCTGGTGCATTAAATGATAAATTATTGTTGCAATGTAGGCAGGTCTGACC